GGGTAGGAGTCAGGAAAGTCAAAATACATGGTGGTGCGTGTCATCTTGACTTTTTCTGACACCCACCTCTCCCATTGACACCCTTGCACACACACATTTTGCTTAAGGCAGTGTTGTCCAAACTTGGCCACTTTAAGATGAGTGGACTTCAACTGCTTCATGGCTGGCTGGGGAATTCTGGGAATTGAAGTCCACTCATCTTAAAGTGGCCAAGTTTGGACAACACTGCCTTAAGGGGACATAATTAGATTGTTGTAGAGAAAGTGCTTCTTCACACACTCATTAGTTGGTGTATATCTCAGGGGCTCAAGACCATGTATACAGGGGGTCTTCATTTAATGATGCTAATTGAGACTGGAAATTCCATCGTTGAGTGACACGGCCGTAAGTCGAAAAACCACATGACTGTGCCACTTAGCGATGGCAGTCCTGGCGGTCCCGATTGCTGTTGTTAAGCGAGGACCTCACGTGACTGCAACTTCTGACTTCCTGATGGCCTCCCCTTGATTCTGCTTGTGGGAAGCCAGTAGGGAAGGTCACAAATCATGATCACGTGACTGCAGGATGCTGCAATGTCGTAATTGGGAGCCAGCACCAAGACTCGGATCACGATCACATGATCACGGAGATACTGCATAACTCATAAGCAACAAGGTCTGGTCGTAACTACCACTCATTCAGGGCCATTATAAGTTTGAATGGTCACTGATCATTAAACAAGGACCACCTGTATTATATTCCCTCCTCCAATTTCATCCTCACAAAAGAACACACTCAGAAATGTTGGGCTGAAAGATTACAGATGAGTCCAAACCCACCAAGAAGCTTCCATATGGGTCTTCCCCAGCTGTCATGCAGCAGAAACAAGGCTGCTTCATCTTTATGAGGGGAGTATCTGCTTTATTTTGTTAACTGTCTGCCATTTTTTTCATTAGAAAGCAGATAATTTCCCAGGTGAAACTGACTTGAAAAAAATCAGTAGGGCTCATTTCCCCACACAATATTCCCAAGGAAGAAAGACATGGGGAGGAGTCCTTCCAACACTTCCACAGGCCCCTTTGCCCACCTGCCGTGCAATCACTTGCTGGAGCGCGTTCTGGCACTTAGCATAGGTGTTGTCCCTCATGATGATCATGATCACAGGCATGAGTTTATCCACCAGGGCGAGGGGACCATGCTTTAGTTCACCAGCCAGGATGCCTTCAGAGTGCATGTAGGTGATCTCTTTGATTTTCTAAGCAGAAGGAGCACTTCGTTAATTTCAATTGCCTTAGTCGAGAACCCAGGTTTCCCCGTCCTAGACCTCTGGTCAAGAGGAAGTCACTTGGGAAGCTCGTGCATGAATTCGTTGAAAAAAAGATGGGCCCAGCCCTACTCCTTCCCTTAGCTTTCTCCCTTCTGAGAAAAGGGGAAACAGTGAAGGAAGAATGCTGTGGATTTTTTCAGATAAGGCTTCCTTGAAGGATCAGCCAAAACATACTCTTTCCTGTTTTTTGCCTGCTGAACAGATTTTTGTCAAATGATAAAGATCGAAGCAGCCACAGGAAGACCCAGGAGGGTCATGAGAAGACACCGTTGTCTGGACTGTGCCCCATCCCTATCATTTGGTGAACCAGCCCATGTAGAGGATACTTCTGAATGAAGTTTGAATAAATTACCCTAACCCTAACCCATTCTGAAATGAGGGACACCCTGAAAGATGCATCTGGAAGGGAAGGGGGCTGTCAAAAAAAGTCAAATGGTGACTGCACGATCAAAGCCTTGCCCTTTTACAAATGTTGCATGTACAACCAATGTAAAAAAGGGGTGGGGCTTGGAGGGCACGACCACCACCTTGACTCCCACCCCCACCCCACAGATGCACCTGCCCAGAAGTTCATCTGCCTATCTGCAAAGCCTTGGAGGAGACTGACAATAAGTTCAGATGGGGAGCAGAGCTTTAGTTTGGCCCCTCCATCTTGGGTCCTGCTAGGAAAGGAAGCATCGCATCAGCTACAGAGAACGGCTCCAAACTTTTCCTTTGGGTTGCAGTCTGCCCGCCATTAAACAAAAAACAAAACAAAACCAAAGGGCTGCACATTACTCTTCCGGTTGTAAGATACAGCCAGATTCCTGTGCTCAGTTTAGATCCTTAGCTTAGATTTAAAATCGGTCCACATTCTGGTCTTTACTACCCCTACATGGTTACGAATGTCAGCTTTTGGCAGGCTTTCTTTCACCCCTCTGTGTCCGCCCCAAGGAATTAGGAACCTCTCTCTCGCCAACTGGCGGGCCTGCAGCTCTGGGTGAGCCATTTTCAAGAAGGTGGAGATGCAAGAAGGTGTGGTGCGGCTCACCAGGGCGCCTTCGAGGCACGTGGCATAGTGGTAGCCCCGCCCCATAATGAGGACAGACTTCTGGTGGTAGAGCTCCGTGGCCAGTTTCTGGATCTCATCGTCCATGCTCAGCACTTCTTTAATCAAGTCTATCAAAAGCAGCAAGAGGAGACAAGGCTTCAAAAGGGGACAACTGACACAAGATACTGAATGTTCAGAGACGCCTGAAGAGCATTTTGAAAAGGCCACAGTCTTTATAAACAGTAACATAAAACACAGCAAAGTAACGGGCATGGAGTGGGCAGAATCTGCAGCCACGGGACTGGAACACTGTTTTTTCAAATGAGGGCTGGAGACTGCTTTCTTCGATCTGCAATCCAAGTGAGGGTGCAGATCGCCTTTCTCGGGGTAGCTATGCCAGAAGAGGGGAGACCCAGCAGAGACTGAGCCCCTTTGTATGGAGAGTGACGACGCCAGCGTGGCTGAAGCAAGCACTCTTGTAGAGAACCAGGCCCCAAGCCACACAAGCCTTCGTCTGTTACTCCAGCACCCTGAACAAACTGGCAATCAAGGACGCTTCTGCAGCACTGGGGCAGTATGACAGAATCAGACGATTCTCATTAACATGCAGACAGGTACGTTTTGTACCAGCTGCAACTTCTGGCTAGACTTCAAGGGCAGCCCCACAGTGAGCAAATAACAGTAAACCAAGCGTGAGGCAAAGAGGGCAGGGCCTCCAGGAAGGCCATGACTCGGGCACCAGCTGATGTAGGGCAAAGCCACTTCCAACCGCTCTTCCAGCAGGAGCCTCAGGCCCAGGAGGACCCTTGAGTTGCAGGCCAGCCATGCCTGGGAGAGCATGACCCCAACTAGAGCTTTGCCCTGAATTTAGCATTCTTCTGAATCTGGAGCCCATCCATCTTGCTTAGGCTGAGTTATCTGCCTTATAACACACCTGGTGGCTCTTTCTTCCCATCCTGATCTTTACAGCCTCCAGACCCACCTTCAGTCTTCAATCAATTTTATTTCAATCAACAATCAGCACGTTACACAAACATTTAATTTAAAGGGAAAAACAACAGGGTTCAGGCCAGCATCAGCTTTTGCCTCATTTTCATTGTGGCCACAGAAAATTTAATTACCATTCAGGTGATAGCTTCATATCTGAGAGAAGAAAGTTTACACAATAATTATCTGTTCTTCCTCCTGATGCAGCAGGAGTGAAGACTAACTATTCCAAACATCCCTACAACTGTTTCAGTCTCTCTGGATCCTGGGGTAGCTACCCTGCAGAAATAATAGGATGACCTATCTCAAGGGATGTAAGGTTCTTATCAGATCCCATCCTATTTCAGCCTTCTCCACTCCAGTGCCCGTCAAGTGTGACAGATGTTCATAATGTTCATGTGAGACTATACTGTCTCCTTCCTTCCTTCCTTCCTTCCTTCCTTCCTCCCTCCCTCCCTCCCCTCCTCTCCCTTTTTTCTTTCATGTTTTCTCTGTCTAGATTCCCAGCTACCTTCCAGAGGGACAACTCTTCTTTAGGTCTCTCACCGTCATTCTGCAGAGATGCTGTAATACTGAGACATCCATAGGAGATACGAAGTTCTAAGATATCCATAGGGAACATGCAGTTCTAAGATATCCGTAGGAGATGTGAAGTTCTGAACCTCTTTCAATATGCAGCCTTCGCTTGCATGTTGAGGCTCCTCAGCATAAGCTGAGTAGATCAGAATCACCACTGCTGGGTAGTGGGGTGGGAAGTGATAGACCAGGAAATCCCTCATTCTGTCCTAATTATCCATCTTCAGACTCCCCTTCCTAACTTTTCAGTTCTTGCCCTCTGGTCCAGTCAGACCCCAAGTAAGTAAAGTTTGGAGATATTTCCACTACATACAGTAAACTACGACAACATCTCCCGAAACAAACCCCATATGCCTGCTTTCCCATGCACTGACTGGCTTTCAGTAATCGCCCCCTCACTTGAGGGAGACCCAGTTAAAAGCAAAGAACGCCTTCTCGAATTCCCTTCCACTCAAATAATTAGCTTCACCTCACCCTCTACTCTTACCAAGGTTATGGTCCTCCATTTCCTCCTGCACCCGTCCAAACTCTACCAGTGGGCAATTGTCCCACAGCTCTATCAGCTGATAAATCTGTGCAGGGCAAACAGGCAATCTTTGAAATAGTTAGAGATCATCACTGTTTGTTCCTGGCACACAGGACCTAAGCACAGGGTGGAAAGACACTCCTGAAATCTGTCCTGGCAACCAGGGATGGGCAACCTGTAACCCTCAGATCCCATTCTTGCCAATGTAAGAAATAATGGGAATGGCAGTCAACAACAGGGATGGTCCACATACTGAACACCCCTGCTTAAAACAACATGCTCTGTAATGTGTGAATGTAAAAAGAACCGCACCACCTTGTCTACAGCTGTGGCGCAGAGAACTAACTCCTTAGGCCAGGGTGACCTTTGACCCTGACAGCAGTGATTCTGAACTGGTGGACCACACCAGCAAGGCCACCATCACTCAACAAACCATTTTACACGGAACAAAAAGGGGAGGAGGAATAGTACAAAGATGATCAATGCAAAAAAAGACGGTTAATGGGGAATTCATGGCTGCCTGACAAACTGGGCTTTTCACAAGAACGCCTCCTCCTTCCATAACTGATTGCTGTGGCCCTTCAAAACAGAAGAAGCTGGACATATAAATAAAGCCAAGGGGTCTCCACGGTTGGTCAGTGATAGTGATGGGCCTCTGGCTCCGGCAAGTTGCCCATTGGCCTTTGAGTGCAGTGGCTGAAGGGTCTTCTTGCCTCTCCCAGACTGGAACTGGTTAGAAAGATTGCAGTACAACCTCCCCCCATGTAAGAAAGACTTTAGCCCTCCATTCCTCATCCTGTCCTCTGACAGCAGGGATCACACTATCAGCGCTTCAAGGTAGGCCCGGTCAAGAAAGAGGCATGGTAGGGATTCCAACAATGCTCTTTCTTGGAGTAAGGTAGAAGAACCAACTCTTGACAACCCTTCCAAGTTTCTCTCTGTCCCATCAAACAAAATCAAGGTGGGGTTATTCTGAGTCTCCTTCTCACACTTCCCTCCCCTCTATCTCTGGACTGGAAAATCTCTTCTCCAAGGCCCCTCTTAACAGCTCTCTCGGTCTACCTTCCTTGACGCACATTTCACTGTGCTGAGAACACACCAGTCTGTTTGCCTCCTCTCAAAAGACCTCCCACAAAATTCCCACATTTATTTATTTATATCTATGTAATGATACACTTTTATTTAAATTTATACAGCATCTCACATACGTGACTCTGGGCGGCTTATAAGTTAAAGCAAAAGGCAAAACTCACACGAATAAAACTAAAACAATAAAAATGATGCTGTTGGTCATCCATACCTACCCGGCAACAACTTGAGGCCTCGCATTATTTCTTTCCTCCGTTCTTGCATAGAAATTCTGTCATCACACATCATGAGCGCAAACATTACAAGGGAGACAAACTGGCTTGTGTAGGCCTGCAGAAAAAGGGAAAATAATGCACCCCATTAAGCAGAACCCAGTGATGCCTTAAAGCAGTTCAAGAGGACTGAAGAGGGATAAATGCCTGAAAGACCAGCCATCTCCTCCATTCTTCATCATCAGGAATGGCGTGATCATAAGAAGCTAACTTACGTTGTTGCTGCTGCTGCTGTTAGTTAGACTTATCACCTGCCATTCACGTGGAGAAAGGTCGTGTTTAAAGCAGACATAAATAAAAAACCTAGCTTAAAAGAGAATAATACTACTGCTTATATACATCAATGTAACAGCTATTTAAAAATAGTTTAAATAGTTTAAAAGATTTTAAATATTTTAAAAATCCATTAATTCACAAGACAAAAAACCAAATGGGAAAAGGGTCCTCCAACTTTCTCTCTAAAAACACAGAATGGGGAGCTTGACCAAGAAGCAGGCCTTTGCAAGTGGGGGGTTGCTTTAGAAGGGCCCCCTTTGTAGGTCCCAGCACTGCAGAATTCTAGAGGTGGAAGTGGACAATCACCTACTCTCTGCCACCATCCAAATTCAAGCATTCCAGGAAGATGGCCGTGACTTCCCAGAGGGAGGTCACCATGGCTCTGCATCTGGGGGTCCCACTACTTCCAGTTACATCTCCACAAATTGGCAAGAGTACAGGTGGGGAAGGGTAGGAAGCCCCTCATATTTCCCATCCCCTAAGCTCTTTATTTCTTTAAAAGCTACCCATATCTTGAACTGACTTTAGAAAGCAATTGGCAACTATTCTTGCTTTACCTCCAGCCTACAGAAGCCTTGGCATCTCCACGTTGGGCTAATTTGTACCAGGCATCTCATCCAGGTATTCCCAAAGGCACTTGCAAAGCAGGAAATGCATGTGGGACTTGAGATGGATCCATGTATTTTAGAGCAGTGTTTCTCAACCTCAGCAAGTTTAAGATGTGCATGCTGGCTGGGGAATTCTGGATGTTGAAGTCCATACATTTTAAACTTGCCGAGGTTGAGAAACACTGTTTTAGAGGCTTGGGCATACCTAACACTTCCTAAATTGGACTTTTATAAGGTATGGATGGGCTTGGGAAGAAGATATCATCAACTCTCCACCTATCAAGAAGATGAAAGAAAAGCAGAAGTGATTTTGAAGGCCCATGCCATTGGGAGTTGAGGAGGCAACCCTGAGGAGGCAGTGAGAGCTGAACCCCGATTTCTAAAACAGATGTGACGCAATTAAAAAATAACCCTCCCCTCAAAAGCTCAGAAAACCAAGCTTGCCAAATGTGTGAGGAGCCCAACCCCCCCTTGTCTCTTGCCCCCACCTAATGTGACTAACCTAGCAATAAGTCTTCTAACCCAACCGAGAGAGTGGACATTCTCTTCAAGGAGAAGAGCGTTCTTCTAGAATTCTTGGAAAAGATGGGAGACAAAATCCCCCAACAGAACAATGCATGGTTACACTGTCCCTTTCACAATTTGGCTGTGGTCTCACACGTCCCAGGCCAGTCCAATGAATTTTGTGTTAGTTGTCTTTTATCAGAGAAGAAAAAAATGGTTCCATGTAATGATGCAAACTTGGCACGGCTGCTGTCTCTATTTGCCAGCAGCTGAACTCAAGCTCCACTGAGTAACGCATTCATCGAGCTCTCTTTTGGCAACATCTGCATTATTGGTATTTAAAGGTGCCTTTATTCCCATCTGTTTCTGAACTTTGACTGAAATACCTGACTGATACATTGGATGATATTTACAGATGGGCTAGTGACCAAATCGGCATGAAGGACACCCACGGCACCTCCCATCCTCCGACAGGAAGGTCCGTGGGTCTGCATGCGCAGGTGTGTATGTCATGCAAACCCTGAATTTGGTTTAGCCCCCTCCCTAGAAAAGGTTGGAAGGGAATAAAGACTCTAACCAGTCCTGGCAGCCCAACAGTTTGTATAAGAGAATTAATGGCTTGTCTAAGAATCTGCACCAGAGACAAAAGAGAATCTACCCCCAGGATAAAGTCGGACATGTCTCTCTTCTCAAGAGCCTGTCCTTAAATGAGAGAACAGGACATCTTCCTTGCAGGAGGCATGCCAGACTGCAACAAGGAGATCTCCTGCGATGGTGCTCCTGGGAACCAGTAAGAGAGATTCTTCCTATAAACCCAAAGGCCTCAAGTGCAATCAGATTCCAGCGATACATCCTGGCCCGCAAAGGGCACATCGCTCTTCTGCTCCGTTCCGTCTGTTGACAGACGGCTTTTCTAAGGATTGTTTGGGTTAACTTCCATTTCTTATCCTAAGCAGTGATTCCATCCTCCAGAAATGCAATCTCAACTGGGAAAATAATTCAATGCACAACATCTGTCCATTTTGGGACCTGGCCAACAGGACTTGGAATGCTGACAGCATGAAGCCCTGCCACCAAGCCTAAAGTGCGAGTTGATGGTACTCCAAAACGCCATCAAGACAATAACCTTCCCCAGGGAGATGTCAGGGGCAGAAGGCTGGACTCGGGCTGGTCAGGCCTGGATCCCAGTCCCTTGCAGATGCAACTCCTTCGAGGGTCCTGCTTCAAGCTGATCAGAATCAAGTTGGCTTTGCTCAACTCCTTGGAGATCAGGCAGGGCACAAAAATGAGGAAAGAAATGGAGCCTTGACTACATTCTTCTCCAGATAATGAGAGGTCAGGGAAACATTCAGCCCTTTGGAGAGGCTGCTCTTTTGTCTTGTGGGTCGGGGGGGGAGGGGACAGCCTTTCAACTGGTTTAGCCTGCTTGTGTTCTGGATGTCTTCCATCCTCTGCTCAACCCCTTTCCCTGGGCTGCGTGTGCATTTCCACTGCCGAGGGAGCCATTCTGCAGGGAATCCGTGGGGAGTGGAGACGCGAAGGCCTCCTCCCTTCAGGGCAGGGCGGTTGACCACAGCCTTCTCCCTCTTTTTCAACCCCCCAGAGATCTGACTCCACCACCAAATTCCAATCCCGTTTACCCATTCTGAGCTGGGAGACACACAACCAATGTACAGTAACCCAAAATAGATTTAGCCTAATTTAAAAAAAAACACCCCCAAATTTAAAGGGCGGTTGACCACAGCCTTCTCCCTCTTTTTCAACCCCCCAGAGATCTGACTCCACCACCAAATTCCAATCCCGTTTACCCATTCTGAGCTGGGAGACACACAACCAATGTACAGTAACCCAAAATAGATTTAGCCTAATTTAAAAAAAAACACCCCCAAATTTAAAAAAACCCAAAGTCTTGCCAAATGGCCCATGATAGCCTTCGCTCCTCCCTTCAAACACCTCTTCTCTCTATCCTTTGGTTTTCAAACGTTACCCAGCCTTGGGCTACAACTGCCCGTAGGCCTCCGAATCCTCCAGGCCCCCCTACACAAATCCAGCAGGACTCTGAATCCATCTTCTTTCCCAGACCTTTGCAGAAGGGAGGCACGGCCACACCATAGAAGCCTCATCACTTGAAACGTCCCTAAAGCCAGATGACCTAACCAGGGCTTCCTCCTTGGTATTCTCAGAGAACCTACTGGAGATTTGGAGACAGGGAGGGAGGGAGGAAGCTGAGTAGGAGATATAGCCTGAAGCTGGGTGATCTGCGGAAGAAGAACAAAGGGATCCCAAAGGCATAGACACAAGTCTCCCGGTCCATCTCACACAAGAATGGAATAGTGCTTGAGTTTGGAGGTGGGAAAGACAGCTTTACATTTTGGTTCAGCCATAAACTAACTTTATGAGTTACTGTTCTCACCTGTCTCACCTGGCCATACTTAAAATAGGAGCCTTTCCAGAATGCTGGTGGGGATTAATTCATTCCTGGGAGCCCACTCCTCTCCTTAAGAAAAGCAGAAGGGGCCAGATGCAGTCAGCACTGGCACTCAGAATAAAGGTGTTCTAAGACCGGCATGCCTTCACGTCAATCTCCACATCTGAGCTCTCTTTATGCCAGGGACCCTCACCTTTGTACTGGCCACCCCAACCTCCGGCCCTGCGTTGATATGCACCCCACAGTCTGTCTCCCGTGAAATGGAGCTCCCAACAGTGTTGGTGATGCCCACGGTGAGGGCTCCCCTCTCCTTGCAGTACCGAAGGGCCATCAGCGTGTCAGCTGTTTCTCCTGCCAAAAGAGATGGACGTGGTCACAGTCAAGAAGGCGCTCCCACCGAGTGCTCAAGATCTGTTAGTGCAGAAGCCATGTTCCTAACCTCACCAGCAACATTGGAACATACCTTAGCAGAGCCAAATTAAGCTCAACTCTCTCTGCACCAGCTGTCAGTGGCTCTCCAAGGTGTCAGACCGGGTCTCACCCAGCTTTCGCAGGAGAAGCCAGAGAATGAACCTGGATCTGTCTCCTTTCATTTGCTATTTGGGACAGGGCGTGTCTCTCACACATTCCGCCCAGAAGACCGAGCCAAAGGCAGGCTCTCAAAAATTATCCCGAGAGCGCGCGAGTGGGCAAGCGTGCAGTGCAGGAGCAGTGCAGCTGAATCTACTGATATATTGTTATCAGGAGCTGAGCACTGTAATCTAAGAACTGGCAATAACACTACGAGAAAATTCTAGTTATTCTAGTACAAAAATGCTGTACAAAGACCACATCAGACTATGCAGAGGAGCGCAGGCAGGTAGAGGCACCCAATTCCCATCATGCTTTGCCAGGCTTTCCGTCCGAGAGCTCCTGGCCACAGGTCTGGGCAGCAGCAGCAGCTGCGTCTTTCAAAGGATTGGCGGCACTCGGGGGGAAAGGCTCTGGAGTCTGCTCCTGGAAGACCTGCTTGGCCATCCCAGAGATAACAGCTGACCTTCTCTGGGCTTGGAAGCTAAGCAAGGTCAGGCCTGGTTAGTCCTTGGATGGGAGATCTCCAGGCTGCAGGCTAGACCAGAAATTGAAAAGATCCTTGAAGAGGGAAGTGGCAAACCACTTTCACAAGAGACCAGGAGCAGAGCTTGGCTTGAAGACAACTCTACCTTTTGGGGGTACCTGAGATCCAGTCGTTTGTGTTTGCACAGGTTTGCTGTTTAATGTCATTGTCAGTTCACCTTTTAAAATGTCTGAATATTCAAAATAGGGAAAGGGAGTAATGATTAAAAGTTATTGCTATTTGCTTCAAAGAAACTGCAAACACTGTTTCTTAATGTCAGGGATGTCTGTGAGGTATGGTCAGAAAAGTCAAGATGGTGTCCACAGCAGTGTGATACACAGGCAGTGCACATAAAACAGGTGGCGTTTTGATCGGACCATTGCAGCTGCCATCTTGATTTTTTGACCATATCCTGTGGTCACTCCTGATTATAATACAATCGATTTGCCAAGGAGGCATATGGTGGAGACCCTCAATCCAAACACCCCTCGGTTTTAATATCTGTTTGTCGCTTACTGGGAAATGCAAAAAGCAACTTCTCCCACCAACGTATTAAGAATCGGGAACTGTGGTTCAGATCAGGGGCGTCTGTAGAGGGAGGGAGTCAAAATCTCCAGATCTTAGGTACGGCTTTGCACCTGAAGCCCCGCGTGCCTGAGTAACAGGAGCAGAGTCTCAGTGGCGATGCTGCTCCTCCCATCTCGCAGATCCCCCCTTCAGATGTCCTTGGGTTCCATCAGCCTCAGCCAGCACGGCCCACAGTCAGAGAAGGCATCAGTTATAACCCCTAAGTATCAGAAGGCCAAAGGCCTCCTACCTACCTTAAAGTTTTTCTCACACTCAATACATTCACACACCTTTTCTTCCTTGCTTTCAACACTGTACCTTGGATAAAAGATACACTTTGCTCTCCTAAAACCTGCAGATACCCAACTCCACAGGGGCTAAACTCACTGTTAGCACTACCTATATCAGTGTTGTCCAAACTTGGCCACTTTAAGATGAGTGGCTGCAACTCCCAGAATTCCCCAGCCAGCATCTGGCTG